TTTATTAGCGCAAAAAAATTAAAAAATGCACTGGCGATCAAATACCACCAAAAGAAAGCTGAATTTGTGGGGAAAAAAGGACATAAATTTAATTTGGGTGCAGTGCTGAATGACCGCGCAATCGTCAGTTAAAATAACGCAGCGCTGTAACACAAGAAATGGCATAGTCACGAAGGGGGATAAATTCTCAGGAGGGGTTAAAAAGAAAAAGTCACGCTTCCGTGCATATCGATCTAGCGTCAGGTTTTACCTCCTGTCCAAGATGCTCAGGTTCCTGCCTGCCTATCTGCCCTGAACCTAGGTATTATGCTTGTGCACCTGTGTATTAGTGTTTGGGTAATGTGTCTCCATGTAGAAGCTGGACCCCTCTGTTTCCTGTGGTGTTCACCGCCATTGAAGTATTCTCAAATTTTTTGTGTATTTGATTCTGTCATTGCTCCCAGTGTTTTCCCCTGGCTGTGCAGTTGTATGCCCTTGGATCCCTTCCATCCCTGTTACTGTGTTTCCTTCCAAGCATTGTTTCTTGTTTGTTTGCCATGCAGTCCCTACCCAGCTTGCTGCAGTTGGTTACTTTGCTTCCCTTGTTCCTCTGTGTACCCTGTGCCCTTTCAGCTTGCTATTTGGTCACACTTTGCCAACACGAGTGTGTTAAAGACCTGGAATCTGGGGGCTGCTATGCACCGCAACATCCACACCTCCAGCGACTCTGAAGAAGAAGACCGGGTAGCTCCTTATATCCTGCCACTCTGACAAATCACCGTTTGCGTGCGTGGGGACCCTGCTGGCAGCTGATGATTCACCGTATGTTAAGGACACGGCAGCTACCTGGTTCTTAAAAATCTCGACAGTTACTGGTTGTTAAAGACGCTGGCAGCTGCCCGCTCCTTAGCAACACTGTATTTACTACTGTAACCTGATTACAGATGGAGTTAAACTACAGCTTGTTTTCACTACTTAAATACCACATGACTTCATAAAATAACTCATGCGGTGTATTAGTAGCATTTTTTAGTGAAGTTAAAAAAAGTTTGAAAAATGGAGTACCTCTCAATGCAGTTCTCAGAAAAGAGAAACATGCATTTCTACCATTGTGGGGCACTGCAGGGGTAAGGCTCCAGCTTAGTTTGCTTGTGGGCTCCATCATGTACCTCCTACAGTTGGGCGTTTCCTGGGATACAGTAGATGATAGTTTCTGTCCTTTTCTTAGGCCTAAATTGACAGGTAAGAGAGTAAATTTTGTCTGACAAATTAGTTTATCCTTAAAACCTTTAAATGATTCCTATTAATGTTATCCACTATCAAAGCATACTATTTCCTTATAGTCTGGGAAGTAAATTGTTTTATCTTTTCCTCCTCTCAGTAAAATTGTGAAACCAACATCTTGAGTTTGGAAAAATTATCCAAAGTGCATGCCATAGGTGCCCAAAAGACATTAAAAATACTTTATAGAATTAAATGATGAGGACCATAATGAAAGTGCAAGCAGCCTTTCCCTCCAGAGTTCCCATTCCAGAAACACTATTTCTGCTGTTCCTGGATCACCACAAATTGTAAAAAAGAAGGTTCAGTTTATTTACTGAATAAGGTGTAGTTTTATTTCAAGCATAATACACTGCATTTCACACTCCCAGTCTAACAAAATGACTTTCAATTTGTAAAACTACTCTGCACCGATTTTTTTTTTCAGTCTTTCCAAAAATTTCCATCTTTTTCTGGAAAAAAAAAAAAAGGAAAAACTTTTTTTTCCCATGGACTCAAAATTTCCAGAAATTTTACATTTCTAATCCTGCCACTTTAAATCTGATTTATGAAATGAATCTATGAAGTTTAGTGAGAACACAGCACAATGACTCCAAACTTTTCATATTAGAGAATGCAACTTTGCAAATGTGTTGAGCAGAGGGTGAAGGGTAGCACTGATGAAAAGCTGGTTGACAAGGAGCCGGTGTCCACCAGCATCCTCAACAACCAGGAAATAGCTGGGTTTCAGGGACACCAGCGGGTGCTGGCGTTAAAATATTGCATGTTTTGACTACTAAAATACTGCATCATTAAAAGAAATAGCGCATGCATTTTTTTTTTAGTGTATTACAAACAAAAATATTTTTGAAAAACTATGAGCCATTTTACTGATGATATTAAAGCAGTAAATAATGCTTAGTGAATTGAGCCCACAGTGCTTACAAAGAAAAAATTCCAGTTATGATATCCACTCACCGACCACTTTATTAGGTACACTTTCCTAGTACAAGCTTGGACCCCCTTATGCCTTCAGAACTGCCTTAATTCTTCATGGCATAAATTCAACAAGGTGTTGGAAACATTCCTCAGAGATTTTGGTCCATATTGACTGTTGCCTATCATCTCGAACCAGTCTGCCCATTCTCCTCTGACATTGAGGCATTTTCCTCCACACAACTGCTGCTCATTGGATATTTTCTCTTTTTTGGACCATTCTCTGCAAACCCTAAAGGTGGTTGTGCGTGAAAATCCCAGTACATTAGCAGTTTTTTAAAATGCTCAGACCAGCCTGTCTGGCACCAACAACCACGCCACGTTCAAAGTCTTCCCCATTCTGATGCTCGTTTTGAACTTCAGCAAGTCTTCTTCACCACGTCTAGATGCCTAAATGCATTGAGTTGCTGCCATGTGATTGGCTGATGAGCAATTTGTGTTACCAAGCAACTGAACAGGTGTACCTAATAAAAGGGCCCACCAGTGTATTTTTGCATAGTTTGCATAGTTATATTGGTCCAGCTTAGATCAAATTAACTATTTATATACTATACCTGGCCGATGGCCCTGGAATCTGGAACTCACTGAAGTAGACAGTACTATGCCAGTGATCTCCACTTGCTTCCGGGTCCCATGCTGATTGGCCCGTCTGATGCATTGTGAACACAGGATTCAGCCACTTAGCATAGACGCCATTCACAGAATGCTTTTTCTGAATGAATGCAAAACATTCTCTGATTGGAAAAGGTGGAGAAGCAGGGCAATGAGCTCATGCTCTCCAGTTCATTCAATCAGAGAATGCTTTGCATTCATTCAAAAATGCAAAGCATTCTCTGAATGGTGCCTGTGCCGAGTGGCCAACCTCCTGTGTTCACAATGCATCAGGCCAGCTGCTCAGCACGGGAACTGTATGGTATATACACAGTTACATTGGTCCAAGCTGGACTAATGGAACTATGTATAAAATATCCATACCTGGAATTCTTCAAGACATAATGTTAAACTGAATGTGTGCAATAAGCCTCAAGTACAGCTGACAGGACACAAAATCTGTCTACAAAGAAGAGTTGGGAGGGGGGAGTGAGCACTTGGAAACAGAGAAGACAGGGAGTTGGAACATGTTCATTAAGGCTTTAGAAAATGTACGGGTGCAAGAAGCCTCCAGTGCTTCTGACAGGAAACAGGAATGCCCTTGTCTTTTTATATTATGATGGATTATGTAGAATATGTATGTTGTATATACTCCTGAAAAAATTGAGTTTTGCCTTATCAAATTTTATAATTCGTGAAAATTATGTAACTGCGCTGAGTGCCAAAAAATTCCAAACAAATTGTGAACCATAAAACAAATAGTGAAACAGTAGCTGCACTCAAAAATATCAATACAAATACTCAATATGTAATATGCAGTTATTGTTGCGCTATTGATAAAAAAATATACCAATAGTGAGTGACTTATACTTTAAATGTGCTCCTATCAATAATATTAAGTCAAAATGCATGAAACCCCAAAGATTGAAAAAGTCTTTTGATGACAAAATCCCGATTATAATGAACAGATGTGTCCACAATAATCCTCCATGTGTGTAGTGAAATACAGATTCTCCTGTCCACCACCACAAAAAAACACACTGCTCCTTGTTCAATAGTTAGACCCCAGATTATAAGTGGTCTAGACAGGCATGGGTGATGACAGCACAATCTCTGGCCAGCCTCGATGTATGTTATTTACACACAGATCTCTCCCCTCTCAGCTTCGCCGACGGTCACCGAGTCCCGGACGAAAATCGCCAGCTGGGAACCTGGGACTGACATCCTCAGGAGCCAATAGCAGCGCGGGTACAGCTACACACGCCCCTACCCAGCAGGCATGTGGTAAATAGACACATGTGAGGTCACAGTAACCGCACCTGCACTACGACTAGTATTAAACTCCAAATGTAAAACTTAAAAAAAATGACTGATAGTACAACAATCACTGCTGAATAAATGGGGAGAAATCTTATATTGAACATTTATTAAACATTTGTAAAATCTAGCCACAATACCATCTGAATGCTCACTCCCCCCAGTGGTAGAAATGATAAAAATCCTACCACATTATAGTCTGAGTATTAACCCCCCCCAGTGGTGAAAGATGAAATAACCAGATTCATGCTATCATATCAAGAGAGATAAAAAAAAATCCAAACAGTTAAAGTGTAAGCACACTAATGGATCCCTAATTGGTACCATAGCTTGTAGACGCTATAACTTCCACACAGACCAAATAATACACACTGATCGGGATTATTCTTACCAAAGCAATGTAACAGTATATATTTTGTCCCAAATTTAGTAAGCTACTGATTGTTTCTCTTTAACCACCTCCCACCCGCCATATAATCCAATGACGGGCGCAAGGTGGTTCTCTTGTTCTGAGAGGACGTCATATGACATCCTCCCATTCTCACCACGCATGCGCGGGCTCAGGGAGTGCGCTGCGCAGCGAATGGCCGTGCGCTGTGTCCCTCGGACACAGCGGATCACCGATCACGGAAAGAGCCGAAGATGTTGGCTCGGTCATGTGATCAGCTGTGTCCAATCACAGCTGATCACATGTAAACACGGAAATGCCGGTTATCGGCATTTCTCTCCTCTCGAGCTGTCACACTGACAGCTCGAGAGGAGAGCCGGTAATTGGCTTTCTGTGGAGGGGACATGTACATTGATCATCAGGGCACTGATGATCAGTGTGCCCTGATGATCAGTGTAGCCCCAGCAGTGCCACCTGTCAAAGTCCATCAGTGCCAGCTGTCAGTGCCAATCAGTGCCAGTGCCAATCAGTGGCACATATCAGTGCATACCAGTGTACATCAATGCCACATACAAGTGCCCATCTGACCTGCCTTTCAGTGTCATCCATCAGTGCCAATCAGTGCCACCTGTCAGTGCTACCTGTCAGTGCTGCCAATCATTGCCGCCTATCAGTGCCAGTCAGTGCCGCCTAACAGTGCCAGTCAGTGCCGCCTAACAGTGCCATATATCAGTGCTGCCTTTCAGTGCCCATCAGTGATGCCTGTCAATTCCCATCAGTGCCTCCTCATCAGTGCCACTTATCAGTGTCCATCAGTGCAGCCTATCAGTGCACATCACTGCAGCCTCATTAGCGCACATCAGCGAAGGAGAAAAATCACTTTACAAAATTCTATAACAAAAACTAAGAAAAAATGTTTTTTTTTTCAAAATTTTCAGTGGTTTTTGGTTTAAGAAAAAATAAAAAAAACACAGAGGTGATTAAATATCACCAAAAGAAAGCTCTGTCACAAAAAAATAACAATTTCATATGGGTACAGTGTTGCATGACCGCGCAATTGTCATTCAAAGTGTGACAGCGCTGAAAGCTGGAAATTGGCCTGGGCAGGAAGGGGGTATAAGTGCCCTGTAGGCTAGTGGTTAAACATAGCAAGGTCTAAGAAGTTAATCTCCGTGTTACTCAATGCACATGACCATTTTATCCCTAAGTCATTATTATTCAAAGAAATCATAAATGATGTCATTTCTCTGCCCTTTGCCATATTAAGAGGGCATTATCAATGAATCTTTTCCAGATGACTACTTCAACCATGTTTTTACTATATACCACACCTGCCTCCCAGTAGGTCATAAACAAGTTGGCCACACTGGGAGCAAACGTACCCTTTAGCTACTCCTGTTTTCTGCAAATAGTACTGTTCATTCTGCCAAAAGAAATTATGTTTAAGTGGCTAGATTTTATAAATGTTTAATAAATGTTCAATATAAGATTTCTCTCCATTTATTTGGCAGTGGTTGTTGCACAGTAATTTTTTGGGGTTTAAATTTGGAGTTGTAGTGTAGGTGCAGTCACTGTGAACGGACATGTGTCTATTTAAACTCAGTATGCAAGTCAGCACAGTCACCTGATCACCTTGACATCTATTGAGACGAAACATACATTGGGGCTGGGCAGAGATTGTGCTGACGTCACCCATACCTGTCTGGAACCGGCACCAGCGGCGTTTATGACTTACATGCTCACTTGTCTTTGAAGTTTGTAAGTAGTTTTTTTATTTATTTTAATAAATCATTTGTACGTTATTACACTATCTGGAGTATTATCCTTTTTGTTAGTGCACAGTGGATCCCAAAAATGAAGGAAGAAAGGAGGAGATACCGAATTCTGTGACACCTCTGTTCCATCAAGAATGTTACAAGCAATACACTGTATGTTCAGCATCATGCTCTGTTAGACCATCTATAATCTGGAGTCTAACTATTCGGTAAGGAGCAGTGTGTTTTTTGTGGTGGTGGTGGACAGGAGAGTCTATTTCACTACACATGTGGAGGATTATTGTGGACACAGCTATTCATCATAATTGGTATTTTATCATCAAATTCATTGTTTGGGGTTTTATGCATTTTGACTTATTATTGGCAGGAGCACATTTAAAGTATAAGTGACTCACTATAAGTATATTTTTTTTTTATCAATAGCGCAACAAATTTTATTATTTGCTTTATTTTTATGTGAGTCTCTTAGAGCAGTTGCAAAAACAGTTTTATATTTATTTAAAATAACAAACATGACAGACTTACCTGCCCTATGCAATGGTATTGCACAAAGCAGCCCTGAACCTCCACTTCTGGGTTCCATTGGCAGCGCTCTTGGCTCTCTCTCTTCTTTGTGTGCCCCCATAGCAAGCTGCTTGCTATGGGGGCAGACATGTGCTCATTCCCAAGCTGGGCTGTGTGCATCCATAGACCCATACAGCACTGCTCGCCCCCCCCTTGTCTATGTATAATGGGAAACCAACACTCCTTTTTTTTTACATTTGTATTTTCTGTACAAAACAATAACAACTTGGCACCTGTCAGCAGGTTATATGCACATTTTCTTTTATACAATTACCTGTTGCTGTCACGTAGTAATTCATAATAGACTCGCTTTTTTCATATGCTGTAATTAACTGTATTAAACACTTGCCCATAATAGCTTAATTCTCAACTTTATTGGTCATAACAAAATACTATGCAATGCTTTACTTACTGGACACTCGACCCCTTCAACCCAATACACCTGGTCCAGCTTATGTTTTCTAAAGCGTAATGACTTCCTGTTCCCTTTGTGTGAGGAAGTGATGCAGGATGGAGGTGGAATGTGTTCCTCCACCATCAGCATACAGAAATCAATCCTGTCCTCAGACAACATAAATTAATGTGATCCTCCTTTATAGAGTAGGACATGATGTTATTGTAATGATGCTTCACACTTGCTTTGCACCAACTGTCAGTGTTTCTCCTTCCACTCCTCCTTGATGTGTTATGGACTGTCTAGCAGATTGGGGCTGCTACTTCCCAGTGACATTCTATACATTGGAGATTGCTAAGATTAGTTATCATTTACTGATACACATTGAACTCTAAGGAAAATTGTAGCCGTTGCTTGCTACATTTTACTGTCCTTGACAATGAACACTCTGCTGGGAATTAAAAAACCTGTTGGGACATTTCTGGCGGTAGGTCCCTCTAAAACCACCCAGTTTAGACAAACCTTTGCCCCAGTTTCAGTACCTGTACTGTACCAACACGTGTGCCAGAATCAGGTAGTTCCTGCTACCATCACTTTTAGATACTATTTATATGGCTGAAACAGATTTTAAAAATGCCATCAGTTTGCAGATTAGGAAACTGGTGACAATTAAAACCAAGACTGAGCTGGTGTACAGAAAGACGCTAATGGTCAGAGTGTGGAATGTCTGTGCTGGTATACTGTAATAAATGTGACAGCTTCCTAAACAGGGCAGAGGTTTCCTAGTAATAACATAAAACAATTTATTTGTTCAATCCTGTGTTGTCTGGTTCTATGAAATGCATTCAGATCAGATCAGCATTTGCAGTCCCCAGCTGCACTGAACTCATTAGCAATTTTATCTGCTGTTTTACACATAGGTTTGAAGTCAAAACAAATTCCTTATATAGGTGCCCTGCCCTTTGCGTTCTTGTCCTCAATTAAATTCAGTGTGTTTGTTGCTAGGCTGCATCAAGCCTGCATATTGTTTACATATTTTTCTGGGTTCAACACATTTTTCAGATCAGTGAGTTGATTTTCTCTGCTTGTTAATATGAAGGAGGTTCCAGTACAGTATTTAGAGTTGGTAGAACAACCACTTATGAATATGCATCTGATTCAACCAACCCCTGAGGTCCTTGGTCAGAGGTATGGGTCCAGAGATGATAAATATTTGGGTCACCTTTCCAGAGTCTTCCCTACCTCCTGTAGTTCTGCTTAGAGAGGATGTGTGTTTAGAGGTTCTCTCTACTTGGGCTTAGCCTCGACCTTGGATATGTGCTGTGGGATCAAAACTTAAGCTGGTATTGCTGAATCCTGGCTTCATACTTCACGACTGGGCCATTAATATTCCTGACTATGTTCTCTTTCGGAGAGACAGGGTAAAAAGGAAAGGGGGCGGTGTCTGTCTCTATGTGAGAAGTGATCTCAGAGTGAGTCTGAAAGAGGACCTAGTTGATGGAGTGTGATGAAGCTGAAGCATTATGGGTGGGACTGCACATGGGGGTGAGTATTAAAAAGGTAATCATTGGAGTTTGTTATAAGCCACCCATTGTTAATGAGGAGGTGGAGACTCAGCTCCTTGCACAGATCAAAAGGGTTGCAAGGGCTGGGACAGTGATAATAATGGGGGATTTTAACTACTCGGAAACTGACTGGAGTGATGGCACTGAAGGAACAGTTAAAGGGCAAAAATGTATAAACCTAGTACAGAGCGATGAACACAACACAGAAATGGGAATTCTTCAAAAAGACACTGCAAAATATATATAAAAGGTCCAGTCCGAGCATGTACAACCTTTACAAAATAATCTAGAGTGGGTGACTGGGGACAAAGACAAGGCAAATTTATTAAATACCTTCTTCAACTCTCTGTATACAAAGGAGCATGAGGGAGCTTTTGTTCATAATGGGCATAGTATTGGCACAGCCCCAGATAATCCTCATAACTGATTTGTCTAAATATTGGACCATAATAAAGGTGAATAAAGCACCTGGACTGGATGGCATACACCCCACAGATCCTTAACCCCTTTGCGCCAGACGCCGAGTGGCCGCACATTTGCATTCATGTAGCAAAAAAAACATATGTACTGAGAGCGCGCCCTGCGCTCTCCCAGCACACATGTGTGGTACTCACGGAAAGGTCCCGGTCTGCTCTTTCGATCGGGACCTTTCCCGATCATGTGACCGCCGTGATGACGCATCACGGTGGTCACGATTCCTAAACCACACCCCACCTGCCCGCCTCCCGGCGTCAAACTCTTAAAGGACCCGGAGGCGCCGGCGGGAAGGGGTTAAAGAATTGAGCTCTGTCATTTCAAAGCCATTGTTTCTATTTTTTAGGGACGTAATGACTGGCATAGTACCACTAGATCGGTGTAAAGCCAATATAGTGACTATATTTAAAAAGGGATCAAAGTCTTTACCAAGTAATTATAGACCTGTTTGTTTAACATCTATAGTTGGGAAGATACTGGAGAGTTTAATAAAGGACCACATAGATGAGTTCTTGCTGGGAAAAAAATATTTTAAGCAACAGCCAACATGAATTAATGAAAGACAGAAGTTGTCAAACAAATCTGACTTCTTTTTATGAGGAGGTGAGCAAAACCTTGAGGGGAGGCTGTGGAAGTGGCTTACTTGGATTTTGCAAAAGCTTTTGACACAGTTCCCCACACACGACTAGTGTGTAAGGCAAAGCCTACAGGCTTGGAAAAATCAGTATGTAAAAGGTTAGAAAACTGGCTAAAAGATCGTATTCAGATCGTATTCAGAGAGTTGTGGTTAATGAATGGTCTGGGGTTGTCAGTGGTGTACCCCAAGGTTCAGTGTTGGGACCCTTACTTTTTAATACATTTATAAACGATATAGGGTCTGAGATTAAAAATACCATTTCAGTCTTTGCAGATGACACCAAGCTGTGCAGTAGAGTAACGTCCTTACAGTATATCTCCGATCTTACTGTACAAGCCGACCTCAATGCACTGTTTAATTGGGCAGCTAAGAATATGTGTGCATCATACATACTAGGGGGAGTACAACTGGGGGAATCATTGGTGGAGAAGGATCTGTGAGTTCTGGTAGATCACAAGATTAATAATGGCATGCAATGACAAGACGT